TTGCCTCATGCCTATTAACTTTCTTTTTTTGTCGAAGATATAATTGTTTTATGCTTCTTACTAAATCCTCATGAATCCATGACTAGTCCTTATATATGATCCAGTCTTTACCTTTAGATCATACTTATGCACCACCCTTGATGATAAGTAAGTAGTTGCGGTGCAGAGATTTTTTTCATTTGAATTGTTAAAAAAAAAAAAAAACTATCCAAAATTTGATAACATTATACATGGCTATGATTCATAGAATCACCGTTTATGTTTTGTTATATTTGTCCTACACCATTTAATATTCGAGTTTTACTTGTTTTTCACTTGTTTCTTTTTTTTGATAAAATGTTTTTCACTTGTTTCACACAAGCTGTCTTGCTCCATGCCCCATTATGAAAAGGATCTGAATGATTAGTATCCAATAGTGCACGTACACCTGATCATAATAAATACTACTATATTAATTATAGATTAAATATCTATTGTTATAATTATTAATTAATCACGTGAATCTATTCTCTAAATTTCACTTTATTAATATTTAAAGGTATCCTTTTGAAAAGTTGTGACCCCAAGTTTTCGAACGAGGGTAAACGACTTACCCAAAAGAGAGTGATTTAGGTGTTTAAACAGTTGGATTAAATTATTAATTATCATGATTAGTATTTAAATCTGATCATCATCGTAAGAGAATCCTATACCTCCCCTTTGTCGACATAAACGTAGGACCTTTTTCCATTTTATTTTCTTTTGGTTGCAGGAGATATAAATCAAAACCTTAAACTTTGCCTTTAGTCAGATCTCAAAATATCGAATCGATCGATTAAAGGTGCATGCTTTTTCGGTGAAGCAGTGGTAAGAAAATATATTTTCTTACGTATATTAACGTAATTATTTTATTCAATTAATCAAAAGTAGTGATATTTATTTTTAAAAATCAGCATATTTGTTGTTTACTATTTCTTTTTGTTAAATGATTTATATTTAAATAAATTTCTGTCGAGGATAAACAATAATATGTATTCTAATATATAAATATCGGAAACCACTCAACTCATAATATAATTAGATATATGAAGAATGAAGTTATGAACTCATGTACTTAAAAATGAAAACAGTAAATGTGTGAGAATATTTTAAACTTATGTAACATTTTTTTAATGATCATGATCAGTATTAATTATAGAGAATGAATTTTGAATATATTTTAGAATCTATAGTTGTTGTTTGAATTTCATTGGTAATAAAAAAAAATTTACGAATAAATTATGGAGTACTTCCGAACCTCTTTTGTCTCACGGACCTACCTAAAATAAATAACTTGGTAGAGAATTTAATTTTATAGTTTAAAACAAAATTAAAATTGAGGAAATGTCCCCGAAAGGACAATGCTGAAACTGATTAATATTGGAAATTAAATGCTTTCGATTAATAAAATTATAGTATATGCTTTCACTACTTGTGTCGGTTACGGTGATACGAGTCTTGATTATCGACGGTTGCGGGACCCATCTGACCGACAAAATAAATTCTTTAATTCATTAGCCAAAAACCAACTTCTTTATTTTCTTGCATCTTTAGTTTTTTAATAATTTCGTATGCAGAAACTAAAGATTAGCAGTAAATAATTATATGTTTTATCCATTTTGTGGTTCGCAAAAATTGTCGTCTTCATCGGTAACGAAACATGCGTTTGTGCTTTAAAGTAAAAAATCCGTTTCAGTTATTCATACATGTAGAACGGTGTTTAAGATTGTCCTCTAAAACGGGCGATTTGAGGAACGGGTTTTAAAAATCATTTATAAAAAAAAAGACATCTGAAAAATAAGAATGTATTAATCAACTCTCAGTTTTCAAACAAATTGATTTTCACTATTTAAAACCACGTTTTTTATCAGACCAAATTTTGGAAAAAATTTGCAGCTACTAAAAATCAACATATCTACATCCAAATCTGTTAGAAGAACATTCGAATAAATAGTGTTTTGTTGAAACCTTTTGTTTACATATTGCAAGCTGAGTAGTTGGTTACTAATGCACAAAATTAACCCCCAAATATGAATGCTATTGTTTTACTAACATTATGGGACATTTTCAAAAAAAATATATTTATTTCTCAATTATTTTTAGTACGTACAACGGTACAAGGATCATGGTGAAATTTCAACGACATAAAGAAAAGAAGAAAACTTCATTCAACCTTTAGTACCGTCTCAATATATTATGAGACCTATGGCAAAACCAAAATGTTTTTTAAATCTCTTAGTAATTTAAAAAAAAATTATTTTGGGCCTTTTTTCTTTAAGAAAATTTTTGAAATTAATTTTGGACCCTTGGCATTTGCCTACCTTGCCTAGGGGTAGAAACGGGCAACCTTTCGCACCTTTGATAAACTGATGGGAACTGATTGATCTAACTGCTTTTAATGTTCTTGTTTAGTGACTTTTTTTTTTTTTTTAGTGACTTTGAATTCCCATTGTATGAAGATGCGATCATGCGACTAGGACATTTAACATAGTGTTTTGCGTTAGTTACTGATGTAATCGTATCATTATCTGGATTCAAATTCGTATATTGTTAAATCGTTGAAATTTGTTGTAACGAATGAAATAGTTTTTATCTTTTCTCGTTCTAACAATATTTTTCATTTTGTTTATGGTTAAACAGCATAGGGACTTTGAGTGTGCGGGTTAACGTGTGTTAGAGAAAAAACTTTACAACGAGCACGATTGTCAAATTCGCGAGTTACCGGTTAAATCAAATTCGGTATATATTAAACTATTGTGTGTAGCATACATACATACGTGGGGCTCTGAGAGGAGAGTGTCTTGACTCTTGATTTAAACACACTTGGATGCATATATGATAAAATATAAAAGAACCATGTCAATATGTACATAATTGAAGAACGTTAGGTCATGTTAGTGTTGATAATAATTTATGAGACTTTGGATGCTTGCACCACAATACATGCCACACGACAAAATCAATGAGTTGAGTGATCGATGGCTTTCTAATCAAATCCATTTCTTTCTTTCTTTTTCCTACATTTAAATCTTTTTTTTTTGTTTGCAGAATTAATTGTTCTTTGTTTGTGACGTTTTGGAAACCAAAATCGAGAGATCTGAAATCTAAAATCCAAGCTACACGTAATGATTGGTAGGTGATATAATGTACGGACATAAAAGACTATGACTTATCTTCTAAGATAGATTTCATCCACATTCTGGTGTTTTTCTTTATCCTTTGCTGTCAAAAACATACATTCTCTTTACAAATTATGTTCATGTAACAAATGATATATCTTGCATAGTTGACAAAAAAAAGATATATCTTGCATTATTACTTTTTACAAAGTCAAAACTTGGTGTAGCTTAGAAGCACCATCTTTTTGGTCATGATCGAAGGCTAGAGAATTATTACTATTCACTACAGTTTTCTTAGATTAAAACATTATAGAAATGCAATAGTATAGTTTTGCCGCAAACAAAAAAATTATAGGAAAAAGAAATTATGAACCTAGAACAAAAAGTAGTTCGTTTTGGGCTCTGGTTACCCATGAAGAATGTTGATGAATCTGGAATAGATTTTTGTATTATTTTTCTTATTCTCAATGGATGCTAAAGACTACATACAGTATGTATACAAGGCCATAAATCCTAAGTATGTGCAATGTAAAAGACTAAATTACCCTTTCAGATTGACATAAGTTCATTGTATCAAACATATGTAGATGATGATGGTGATGAAAGTGTGATTAATATATTTGTATGCATATATGTTCACATCAGCAAAGATTGCTCATTTCAGATTGACAAAATCGTATGCATATATGTTCACATCCCTCTCTCAATATATTTGTTACATGGAACAGCTAACAGCTGCGACCTTTATGTTGTTGCTCTTCTACATCCATATATAGGTAAACATATGTAGATGATGATGGTGATGAAAGTGTGATTAACTTGTGGATGCATATTGCTTTTGACAGGCTTTTGGCGCACTTGTTGTGATATGTCTTGGTCTTGCTTTGATGCTATTTATCGCCGTGGCACTGCTTTGGGCATAGCACAGACTAATAGCTACATTAAGTAGGTTTTGCTTTTACAACAACTGTGGTTTTGGTTACAACAGTATGGACTTGAGAGGCATTGTGGACCTCTGAGCCCTTTTTTGTGAAATTGACCTTATATGATATTACTAGTGGTGGTCCGGTCTGTTCTATATTTGGATGATACATTCAGATTTAGCATCAAGATCTTATGCGTTTGCAATATTGATATTTGCATCTACGTATAGCATTTAGATGCACCCGATGAAGAAGAATTGTATGTAAAACTCAAATAATTAGGAAAAAATTCAGATGAGTGCTCTCTTAGGACAAGAGTTGGAGCTGGCAAAGCAAAAGATGAAGCTGTAGCAAATTTTAGAGTTGCAGTAATAACAAGACATTTAAATGGTTATTTGGGGAGGCCAGTTTGAGGATAGAGAAGGGCCTGAGTTTGCTCTTGGTCACATACTCTATCTTTTAAGTAGAGTTAAAAAATTTCATTCAGATTCATTCCACAGGACCTCTTCCAGGTCTGCTGCATATAAAACAACTCACTTCACCTTTTTGATCCTGACTTCCAATTTTGGTTTCATCTTGTTAGCCAAAACGACCTACTTTTGGATTATCACCGACATACTCTCATACTTGTTCTGCTCATTTCAGTTTCTCTACTTTTTTACAGGTCAAAGATTGCTCATTTCAGTTTCAAAAAAAAAAAAAGGATTGCTCACTTGCATGAATTTTTTTTTTTTTTAAACATCACAACGATGGATGGATATCTTGGTTACACAATCAAAATTACAATACAAGAGATTAAGAGGGAAAGCAAAAAAAAGGCAAAAATTCAAAACAGAAAACTCAAATCTTTCATTTGCAATCTTCGATTACCAGATATATGAACCGCTGGCCTCGTGTTCGCGAAAACAAATGTGAATGGTGTGGATTATAGAGATCTGATGAAAATGCAGAAGCTTTATTCAATCATTTGCAATAATAATGGTATCATGATAAGTTCCCTGTAGTTGGGGAGTGACTCAACTCAGTTCTTGCAATTGCCAGCTTTGTTTATGTTTAGGCCTTTGGCTTGAGCGGCTTGACGACCTCCCAAGTGAAGTCAGGGTCATCACGCCCGAAATGGCCATACGCAGCGGTTTTCTGGAACCTGAAGTTACCTCCCCTCTTCAGGTCAAGGTTAATGGCCATCATTCCCGGCCTGAAGTCAAATGCTTCCTTGATCAACACAAGGATATCCTTGTCTGGGATGGTCCCGGTCTTGTAGGTGTCAACAAACACTGAGAGCGGCTCAGGGACACCAATGGCGTATGATACCTGCACGATACAGCGGCGTGCGAGTCCTGCTGCTACCACGCTCTTTGCAGCCTGCCTCACGATATAGGCACCGCTTCTGTCAACCTTGGTTGGGTCCTTTCCTGAGAAGGCACCTCCACCATGAGCACCCCAACCACCATAAGTGTCAATGATGATCTTCCTCCCTGTGAGTCCAGCATCACCATGAGGCCCTCCGATGACAAAACGACCAGATGGGTTCAAGTGAAAGATGGTGTTATCGTCAAGGTACTTAGCAGGGATAACAGGCTTGATCACATGCTCCTTCAAGTCAGCAGCAATCTCGTCGTTGGTGACAGTTTCGTCATGTTGAGTTGAGATGAGAACAGTGTGGACTCTAATCGGAATCATAGCTCCACCATCATTCTTGTACTCCACTGTGACTTGGGTCTTACCATCAGGCCTCAACCATGGGCAAGTCTTGTTCTTCCTCACTTCAGTAAGCTTAGCACCAAGCTTGGTGGCTAGGACATGAGTCAAGGGCATGAGCTCAGGTGTCTCATCAGTAGCATACCCAAACATATGTCCCTGATCACCAGCACCAATATCTTCAGGCTTCTTGGTCAAATGACCATGAACACCCTGAGCAATGTCAGGACTCTGTTGCTCAATGTTAACCAAAACATTGCATTTGTCAGCGTCAAGACCAACATCAGCAGAGATAAACCCAATCTCCCTGCAAGTAGATCTAACAATCTTCTCATAGTCAACTTTCGCAGAGGTAGTGATCTCACCAAACACCATCACCATGTTGGTCTTGGTACATGTCTCACACGCCACTTTGCTTTCAGGGTCCTGCTCTAAGCAAGCATCGAGGATCGCATCAGAAACCTGATCACAAAGCTTGTCTGGGTGTCCCTCATTGACGGACTCAGAGGTAAATAGGAAGGTTTCCATTTCTACACATACACAAAAACAACATCAACACTAATTACACTAACACAAAAAAAATCGAAATTCTTTAAAAAAAATCGCATAGTTCCACCGACAAAATTGAAGATTACAAGATCTAATTCCATCAAATTCTGATCGGATTTGAACAATTAAGCAAGAAAATTCAAAAAAAAAAAAAAAGTATAGTTCCACTTCCACCGACACAGTTTCTGCAGAATGATTCCGAAATTTTCCAGTTACAGAATCTAATTCCATCAATTTCTGATCGGATTTGAACAATTAAGCTAACAAAATCAACTTCGAATCGTCAGATCTAACAAGGATTTCAAATCTGGGAAACGAGTGATTACGTAATCTACGAAACAAAAATGAACAGATCTAACGAAGAAAGAGCAATAACAATGAATCGAAGAAACAAACCTGTTAAACGAAGTAGAGGGAGAGAGATTGGAATCGAGATCTGGAGGAGAAAAATGAAAGCGAGAGAGAAGAAAGAGAGAGATTAAATGGAGAACAAGTGAGAAAAACTCGGCGCGTGACTCGCTCTCTGTTTGTTTGCCCGCTCTTCTCTCGTGCTTCACCTCTCTTCCGTTTATATTGTTGCCCAAGCTATGATCACGTGTTTTCTGGTGTACAGTGTTATGATGTTTTTACACCGTTGATCTTTTAATGAAGAAGACATGGACGGTGAGATATAGCTAACTAGTGCAATCTCACCAACCCCGTTGTCGTAGGTATGGGTGTGGTTGGTGAGAAGAGAGTAGTACCCGACAAGATCCGACCCGGAATCGACATCGAATATCGGATCTTGGATAATGTATTCGAACCGGATCCTTTTGGATACCACATGGACCATGCTGGCATCAATCAAGGAGTGGTTTAGATTTATTTTTTTTATAAATAAAATCTGCTTTTAACTAAAAGGGATTAATTTTCTTTTCATATTAAGGTTTTGGTTGGTGATGGTGTTTATTTTAATTTTTCGCATTTAAAACTTATATATAGTCGAGAAGGTAAGTTTTCATTTTTTGCCTTGTATTAGGCTTTTGTTAGTAGAAGAAGAAGAAGAAAAACTAGCTTACTATTGTCTTTCTTTCTCAAAATAAAATCTAAGAACTAAAACTCATTAATAGAAGCGAAAAATCAATACAATAAAAACACTAGGTTTCTCTCCTGATCTGACACATCAGCTTTTTCAGCTTTCCTGAGTGTGACACATCATTAAAAACAAACACCAATCAAAACATTTTAAATAATACAGCTCAGCTATGTTGTCCAATAATAATCTTCTATGACGCCACATCACTCTCTTTCTCTCACATTTTATTTGTTTATTTATTATTAGAAAAAAAAGAAAGAAAATAACTAAAAAAACAAATAGAAAATTATGTCGTCGCCGAATATAGAAGACTCGATTTGTCGATTTGTCATCGGACGGAGTTTCAATAACTACCGGAAAAATCACCGATCCTTCAAGCTGAACCCATCTCCAACAAGCTCCATCATTCATCTTCCTCTTCTTCGTTTTCCTCTTTCTAAACCAAAATCTAATTCTCCCGTTACGAATCACCGGCTGTTTCTCTCGTCGTTGATAGGATATGCGTTCCTCTCCTCTCTTTATCTAAGGTTAGCCGTCTTTTGACGAAATCAATCTTGATTAATATACCTCAGTTTGTCAATTTCGCTTTCATGAACCAAACTTGGTTGGTTTAGATTCATCATTCATGGAAAGATACTGTAACTATCTTTGAGATTTAGTATACCTCAGCTGTTGTCTTCCTTCGTTCTCATTGAAAGATATTGTAACTATGTCTTGGTACTTCTTGGTAATGAATTTAATTGCAGGTGGCATCAACAGGTCTATTACTTATGAACTCGAGAGACCTGAAAACATAGGTTTGAAGAAATCCTTAAAGGCATTAAATCCCTCTCTTTTCTCTTGGTGTGAGCTAATAAGGATGTAATTTTCGCATCTATTTAACTGTCCTTTTTGTGTGTCTATTTGCACTTGTTTCTCAGATTTTTCAATTACGTTACTTCCAAATAACTAATCTTCTTGGTAAATGAATTCGTTGTTAGGTTCTAATGAAAGCAAAGGTTAAGGTTGATGAGATACAGCCAGGTAATCATTATTTAAACCGTGTACACCAAATAAACGTGAATCTAAAATTTACCTAAATCCAGAGAAGAAAACTTCTTTTGATTTGATGACGATGATGGGATGATGGTTTCTTACAAAGGCATACTTATGTGATTAGGTTCTTTCTTATTGTAGCTTAATATTTTGCATCTCTTTCTTTCTGATAGTTCTGCGTGGCTTTTGAAAAGGCAAGAAAAATATGGCAACATGTATCTTAGTGATTCAAGAATATCATAGTTTAAAGTTATGTTCTATATGTATAGTGAGAATTGAGCTTTATATTTTTATCAATGGTATATATTTTGGAAGTTGCCATAGATTATATATTCATGATTTGGTTGTTTGGTCCTGCATTTTTATGTCATCAGTTCTGGATTTATTAGCTGCATCAATTCTTGAGATATTTGATTCTCATATCTCGAGAATGAAAATTAACGAAGATGAATAATAATAAACCTCTTGAGATATAAGTAATATCGAAGTGCGTAGAAATAGCCATTAGACCAGTCCCAGTAAGGTCACACATACTAAAGACCTGACCGACGAAAGCAGGTCCACCGTGTTTCCCTTCGGAGCTGACAGATGAAATCCTAACCGTTGAGTTAAGGTTGGAGGAGGACGTGGATGATGTGCTTCTCACCATCGATTCGAAAGACATTGTCTGGTACTGAGAATCTAAGTGGGAGGCATACACAAGTGACAAGACTGCTCAGTTTTGGGACGGAAGAGAGGAATGATGGAGGAAGAGATTGAGGTTACGGTGCTGTGGAGAAATTTGGCGGCGATAAAGGCCGCGATGTTGCTTCCGGCGAACCCATTAACCTGACTGTTCGGTTCGGTAGCTCTCTGCCTTGTGCGCAAAAAGCAGAAGATGACTTTTGTAAAACACAAAAAGAAATTATTGGATAAAAAACATCCAAAGTTAAAACCATTTTTTTTATAATCCGACAGAAAAGTCCAAGTTTAATTAAGTCGAATTTAAATTAGTGAACAAATAATTTTAATCTTATGTGTATATCAAATAATTGATGTTAATTACGTTAAATTTGACTATTATCATTAACTTGAATATCTAGAACAATATTGCAACAAAACCCTGATTTTATTCTTTGGATCTAAAAGGATCGACAAAATTGAATTTTTGGTCAAGTTTGAACTGTTGTTTTAGTCATTCATCTTAATAATAGAGATCTTTTCCTTTTATTTGTAATCTCCGACATTTCATGTTGTTTTCAAGAGAAAATTATGTTTTAAAAAAAAAATCGAGAATCCCTATGGTTCTAAGTTGGGTCATGTTTATATTCTTGCTTCTAACATCATGCTCTACTTAGCTTTATTATGTCTTCTCATCTTCTTGCTCTAATGATTGCATTTCAATTCTTCCTTGTTTGAGAACCATTGAACAAGCCAAACTTTGCAAAGCATTATGCTTAATTAACCTTATATATTTATGAAGCTAATCGTGTAACGTGAGAGAAGAATTAATACTTTTGTTTTTGTTCTGTTGAGGAATCTATTTAATATGAAATGCTAATTAGTAATTAGTCTTAACAAGTTTTAACCTTTGGGTTGATTTTCTGTATATATACGAAGGATCCCAACTACAATAAAACAATAATGGCATGCTTAATTCAAGCAGCATATTTACTTGAACTCAAAATACAAAGCGACCATAATCTAGCAAAACGCTCTTGCCGGTTTAGTGTTGCTCTCAAGATATGGGAGCAATAATATTTGTATGGAGGATCATTCGTTAGAAGCTGGTTTTGCATTACAAGTTGGTTTTGAAAGTGTTCTCAAGCTTACTCGAACGCTGATCTACTCTACTCAGAGAAAGACAAGGAGAAAGTTGGGATTCCAAGGCTCCGGCAATTCTCTTATAATCTCTTACATCTTGGGAGGTAAACAAAATTTTATGATCGTCTGCTTAAACTGGACTAAGACAATTATAGTGTTGCATAATTGGTATAATTTGAGTTGAGCTAGAAAAAGTAACTTTCAACGTAACGATGCTTGAAACATACTCACTTTGGTAATAATGAAAGTAAAGTAATCAAATCGCTAGGAAGTATCTGATTTACGTATTTAAATGACTTTGATATAGTTTTCTCTATCAGTTTAATTATAAAATTTGCGATCCTTATCTTTCTTCGTCGATATTTAGTTTGCATCATAAGAAAATTATCACATTGCAAATATACGTTATTAACTTTTTGATTAGTGAGTTTATGAACTACATTCTTAAATGATAAGTCATGTTAATACATTAACTATGTTTAATTTCATTGTGATTACAAATAATATGATTTAATTATTAAATCATATTTATATTAAATAAAAAAAATATTTCAAAAAGTATCCCGCAGCGTAGCGCGGGTTTCGATCTAGTGCTTATAATAAAGAAAAATATTTTATACGTAGACAATTTTTTAACAGTATTTTACAAGCCTTTTTCCTCTATATATCTTCTTTTATTAAATTTTAAGACTTTATACTAATAAAGAAAAGAAAAAAAAAACAAAAAAAGTAATGAAAAAACGTTTGTGGTTGCAGCTGAAGAATACAAACATAAGAGAAGAGATCAGTGAAGAATAGTCAGTAACTGAGACCGAGCTGAAGACCGAAAGCAGCATGGACGAGGAAAAGCGCCATTATCCCGCTACCGAGGATCCCGTGCACATTCCTCAGTTCAGGTTTCTCCTGCACATTTTTGAAACAATGAGTTTCTTGATCTTAAAACTTTGTAAATCATTAATGTTTCACATTGCAAAATATCTTGCATTGTACTTTACCTTAAACAAAGATGGTAAGATTGTTTGAATCGTCAATAGGCCAAGACCTATGAGTCCTGTAACAGCGTGCGGACTACATTGCACAAATTCGCAACCATATCAGTCGCCCCATTGATATATCATTACCAAGTTAAAAGAGATCTTCTTGATAGCATGAACACAGTGTTTTGATTGTTCAAGTTTGGAATCAGTAAATGAGAGTTTACTATGTAAGAAAAAAGATACCTTTCGAAGATGGGTTTGTCAGAAGTAAGAAGGGATATGACACCACCAGTTGCTCCAAGAGCGAAAAAGAAAAACATTCCGGCTAGAAGCTTCGGGTGTAGGTCTTTTGCTTTTGCCTTCTCCTCCTGACATTTCAAAGCAAATGAAGAAAACAGAACGCTCATTAAAATCAATACTATAGCCAGATTATTTGGTTAAAGAGTCTTACAATGTCATCTGAATAACGAATCCGGAAGCCTAAGTATGTTCCATAGCCACCCATAGCAAAAAGTACCACTGCCTAAGAGAAAACAGATAACAAATCCAAACCATCACACACACTGAACAAAGAAGAAGCATGAGATTGGTATGGAGAAGGAAGCTAGTAAGTAAGCAATCATACCATGTTCCCTGGATGTCCCCAATGAACAAGCCAATCAGGTAGATTCAAAGATCTTACAATCTCCACAACAGGTCCAAAAACAGATGTTACAGTTTCAGCTGCCAAAAGAGACATAAATTAGCATACTCATGTAATCTAACAAAACCGGTTTCTTGCTACAACATTCTTGATCTAACTGTTTTTTGACAGGCAGAGAAACAAACAATTTGGATTTTGACTTCAAAATGTGACACAAACCCACAGTACTAATGAATAAACTAATAATCTCACTAATGGTTACTTAAAGCTCCAAGCTTTTTTGAAAATTGGAGCTGAGAAGTTGTGTGGATCATTACCTCCAGGGAGAGAAGCAACGAGGAGGAGAGGCAAAGGAGAGACTGATAACATCAATGTCTCTTTAATCTCCTTCTCATCATCACTTCTTGCTTCAACTGATTCGTCTCCGTCACCTATAGAAGAACACGCAGGAATCAACGGGATCTTTCTCCGGCGAATGGTAGAGAGCGCGGGAAATGGAGATACATTTGAGAATCTGGAGAGACACTGAGTAGAATTGAGTAAACGCGACGCCAGAAGTGCTGAAGGAGGAGAGATAGGGCTTGAGAGAGCGGAGAATCCGGTGATTGCCGCCATTGGAGAAGAGAGCTCTGAGCTTAGTGTGTTGTGTTGGTAAAGTGAGGGAAATGGTAGGGAAGGAGATAGTCTGAGAAAGGTGAAGAAAGTGACACGACGCTATGTTAAAACGCTGTCGTTTTACGCTTTTTTCGCGTGGACTCAACACGCTCCGAGTCCCACGTGACTATCACGTGAGCCTTGAAATATGAAACCCTCTAACTCATCTAGAGGCTTTCAACAGTTAATCAAACCAACAAATAATCTATTACTTTGACTTTAGTTGGTATAATGTATAGTTGCTGGAATAATAAACTGTTATATGATTTTTTAAGAAATGAATCAAAAATTTAATATTGTCTTCTTAAGAATTGTTCACTCTTCTTCATATATAGTATGCATCGAATTAGGCTATTATTATATTGAATAGTTAGATGTCAATAATTCATAATCGTAGATGTTAACATCTCAAGGCGATTTTCCATTATACACGTCTACATTTACATGATAGGGGAGGCACCTATTTGAGTGGAATGTTACGACAGATGCATATTATTGTATGTTACTAAAAGAGCCCCTTTATCAATTATTAGATTGAGAATTTGATAAAATATTGGTAGATAGATTTCGACCTCTAGGTATAACCATATGAAGTCACTGAGAAATCTTTTGGGGTAGGGACTCCATCTCAATAATTATATAGACTAATTATTGGTAGTATACAAATCATTTAAATGTAACAATATATAAGCATTCGTTGAGGAACTTTTCATAAACTTTTATTTTAGATGTAATACATTATAACTGGAGTATTTCATAGAAGATGTAATTGTGTCATATGTGAAAAATTTCAGTTTTTTTTTTTTATTCTTACTTCTACATGTTAAGATGGTGCTTTTTCTGCAAATGAGACCATATTTTGTAATAAAGTTATAAACAAAATAGATGTTAAAAAATGAGTGGTATAAAGGGTTGACAGAAAAGTGATAAACAAAATGCCAAACAAAAAGCAAATTATACTTTTACTGAAATAGTTTTAGGCAAAAATATTGTTCTACTTTTTAAAAAATGTGTAATTTTACATCTAAGAGCAAAATTCTGCTTGTAAGAATCTAGAAACAATCTAGATTATCAGAAACAAATATCCTAAATCAATAATATAACAATCCACAGGTTGACAATTGAACATCTCAAACGGATATATCAGAAGCAAAGACTCATCATACATCCATTATTTTGTGAGTGTGACTGTTAAGTAATGTGTTTTTGGCATAGTCTCGTAGAGCTTACTGATTTGCAAAGTAAGTGTTAACTCTCTCAAAATTTAGAAACGAGTGTAACCAAGTTATATTTTTAATTCTTTAGAATCCTCATAAATATTGTTTTGAAAAGTGCCACACCAACTTACCAACTTAAACCGCTGCGCCATAAACATCCAAATTTATTTCGCCATTGTATACATAAATGCTTAGTTTATGTTATTATATCTTACTAGTATTATATATACACACAAATTCTTCCCATAAGAATATATGTATGTGTGGTGGCCTCGGGATCAATCACTTTGACAATGTCGTGTGGGAAATGACTTAGTCAAACCTTTCACTTGTTTTTTCTGGAAAATAAATACACATCACTTTCACCCTTTCTCTAATTTTTGGTTTAATGTCAACTTTTCTTTTTATTTTCTTGATTTTTCTTTCCTTATCACTTACCTTGTTGCTGTCCATGAACTATTTCCTTTTTTTTTATTGGTAGTGTACGAAGAAAAATAAACACCATAAATGTTGACTCTGCATGCACCAGTTTTACGTTTATAATATTTATCACAGTATAGTTTCGTATACCTCATAATTAAACTAAACATTTCATGTTGGTTCTGACTTTTGGTTGGTTCGATTTGGTTTAATCCAATACAGACCAAAAACCGGTTCACTCGATCGATAAAAGGTTGTTTAGTCTCTTCAAGAGACAAACATGCATGTTCAATCGTAATGTGGACAATAAAGAAAAACTTTAAACCATTTGTCCAATTTGTTTTCTTCCCACAAACCATTTGTCCGATTTCTTAAAATAAAAGAGCATTGAAGAACTTAATTAATTAATAATAATGAATTTCTTCTTCACAAAATTGTTTTGTTCCTTTTAATTTTTTTCTTCACTATTCACAACTTAGACCAGCTGTTCTTGTTTTGCTTTGGTGACCAAAAACACAACTAAAAATTTCATATACACTATTTCTCTCTCTCCCTCTACATATAGATATTATAATAATGAAGGTAATCCACATGGGGAGAGGAGAAAAAGCATAATGGAAGGAAAATAGAAAATAGGTTTTTCATTGACTTGGGCGTTTCCAATACATAGAGCAATAAATAGATGTCTTTATCTTTGATAATTACAGAACCAGAGAACTCTTTTTCTTTTCCCTTCTTCTCTTTCAAAAAACAAAACAAAAATATCTCAACCAAAACACATAGACCAAGAGAGACAGATAGAGAGATGGGTAGGGCTCCATGTTGTGACAAGGAAAATGTGAAGAGAGGTCCATGGTCTCCTGAAGAAGATGCAAAGCTTAAAGATTACATCGAGAAACAAGGCACTGGTGGCAATTGGATTGCTCTCCCTCACAAAGCTGGTACTTTTATACTACTCATGATCCCAATGGCTTAATATTATGGATTTTTGACTGTTTTCTTTCTATTTTTCAATATTGATGGGTCTTGGTCACTTTTTTAAAAAATAAAAAAAAAACTTTTGTAATATGATGGATAAAGGTTTAAGGAGATGTGGGAAGAGTTGCAGACTGAGATGGTTAAATTATCTGAGACCAAACATAAGACATGGAGATTTCACTGAGGAAGAAGACAAGATTATCTACAGCCTCTATGCCTCCATTGGAAGCAGGTTAAGAAAGTCTTAGTGGAAATAGTTATTTTCCAATACTAATAATCTTGGTCTGGCTAGATAAAAAGATTACTCTTGTTTAAATCATGTGAAAGAAATGAAGAAAGTGGGTATCAGAAGAAAAGAAGAGACTTTGCATGTTTTTCAAGGAAGATTCAATCTCAATTGTTGTTTTTTGTTCCTTAATTAAAAATAATTTCTTTCATTGATTTTAGCTTTTACAAACCCACCTTTTGTGCAGTATAATTGCCTCCTTTTGTGGGTATATTCTTTAGTTCATAAATTAGCCCAAAAATAAAGTGGAAGCAAATTCACTTTGAAAAGTATTGAAGATTTAAGCTTACAAAATTATTTTTATTGAGCTTAATTATTGTGGTTACATAAAGGAGTTAATTATTGAAAATGCAGGTGGTCAGTAATAGCAGCTCACTTGCAAGGTAGAACTGATAATGACATCAAGAACTATTGGAACACTAAGCTCAAGAAGAAGCTCATAGCCACCATGGCTCCTCCTTCACATCACCACTTAGCCATTGCTACATCATCATCACCATCACCATCACCATCACATTACAACATGATCAATAGTCTTCTTCCGTATAACCCATCAGTATCAACAAACCAACTTCTCACACCTCAGGGTATGATGATGACAATGATGGGCCAACAACAGCAACAACTATTATATCAAGAAGACATGGGCAGTTTGGTAAATTCCGCAAACAGCAACAAGTTCATAATGAGCCATCAAGAAGACAGCCAGGAGCAAAGTACAAACAATGGAATAATGTTGTTGAGTGATGTAAGAAGTGGGTCGAGTACAACAAGTACAGTAACAAGAGTGAAGATGGAACATCTCGATCATCAGCATCATCATCATGAAGAGGATGAGAGATCAATGAGCTCGGTAGTTATGGAAGATTATGGAATGGAGGAGATCAAGCAATTAATAAGTAGTAGTTGTACGAGTAGTAACAATAGCTTGTGGTTTGACGAAAACAAGACAGAGGATAAGTTCATGTTGTACTATTGATCCCTCTTACCAACTTTGATTTAATCTCCATATTCTCTCTCTCTCTCTTTCTTAATCAAAACTGAAGAGTAATTAATTACTAAAACTTGTCATTGAGGTGTTTAAACGCGATTCATGAGTTTAAATAGATATTTTTACTGTCAATGAGAACTCTATTTTGTTGAACCTATAGGTACACAACTGTTACGTAAAAATTTTAGTGATCAAGAAAACATTTCTATGGCCAATAAAGCCTTATATATATCTACCATGAAAAACATGTGATGCAAAAAAAACTATCGTATCATAATTATATGTCGCATCATTTTCTAATTATTTCATTTTTTTCTATTTTGTACTGTTTATTCATTGAAAAAAAATCAAAATTTAGCTTTGAATTGTCGTACAAAATTATTAATCTATCATAACAATACTGTAATAATTTTGCTTTATGAAAAAATATCAGAGTATTTGGTATGCTACCTTGTATTGTTCCCCTCAACCTCATTAGGGAATCTCAAAATCTTATCAATAAACACAAATTAAAACACATGCACACATACTTTGTATCTTACCATTTAAATTTGAAAACTATTCCCACTTGTATTTCTTTAAGGTATTATTCTTTCTTTCCATGCTCTTTGTATACACTGAATATGTAATTAAACAACCAACCGTTGATAATCAAAGACGTCCGATTATATATATATATGTTATAATCATATCCAATCCACCACCACGTCTATTATATGTCGAGATAGGCCATTTTAATATAATATGGATCACAAAAATAATCCAAATAACACTATTCTTAAATCTTAAATTTCTCATTTCTCGACTCTATAATGTTCTTCCATCGAAACTGGTCGTCAATCGTATCTTATTTTGTATGGCTGGTCTTAATACCGGTAAGAGAGTCGTACCAAGATTGGGCTCGATATTTTACTATAGCATTATTGGCACACAATTTTATAATTAACTTCTCCGTCAAATTTTGTTTCCTTCTTCGACCGACGAATTAGAAAAAAAGAATCTTCACTATTAAAATAATCACTAACATATAGTATTAATGTACATGCATGATCATTATATTTTGTAGTTTGAATAGTCTCAATCATAAGGGAATGAGGAAATATGTATGGCGTTAGAATTTGAGTGGAGAGGAACTTGACAAAAGGTACGACATTGCCTCTCTGTAAAAGATGCCTATCATTGTGCTATAATTTAATAATTCATTGAAACACTACTATTACATCGACTGATAAATATTAGTGACAAGAATTAATGTTGGGTCTACAACTAAATTTCTAATATAAAAATTTAGACAAGTCATGAGTTGCACAAAAAAAAAAAAAATAGACAAGTGCTATCATTGACTATTGGCTTCTATTGCTGCTATGAAACTCTAATATGACAAATTCTGCAAAGTCATATACAAGAAGATAGCTACGGAAAGCTCATAATCAAGCACAAGACTATTTTTAGTATTTTGGAATTGAGATACAAAGGAATAAAGTAAATCCTAGTAAAGACAAGAACTAGAGTTTATGTAATGTTTTGAACTTTGACATTTTGCATAGATCAATTTGTTTTCTTAGTTCAAAATTGATGAATGATATATAAACACTTGTGAGTTAGAGCCAATGTTTTGAGAAATTTGTGAACCATTCACTACAAACATTAAACATTGGCCCTAAATCACACATTATTCTAGATTTTAAAATCAAAGGATAACTTACCTTCCTTTTATTTAATTGATGATATATATTATGGGATTAAGGGGAATTTATAGCAAATGTAATGGTTCTGTACAATGAATGGGATATATAAACACTTGTGGTTGTGAGTTAGAGCCAATGTTTTGGAGAAATATGTGAATATCACAAGAAATGCCATTGCCAATAAACTTTGTCTACGATGCCTCCGCCAGTTCGAACCGCAAGGTGAAGCCTTTCTGCAGCCGGAGGAACTCCCCAAAGATATGGAACTGCCACTGTCATTGTTAGCTTCTCTTGTAAACCACTTGTGCTCTCTGTCTCTGTAGCAACAATCTTTAAAACACAAAGTACTGATTCAATTAGACAAAAATGTTAAGAGAGAAAGAAAAAGAGATTTCATGGTAAACTTAAACCTCTCCACCGTGTTCTAAGACAGTGTCTTCAACAACATCACTAAGCATCTCAACAGAACGGCAGAATCCAAAGATACATAGTCTTCTCCCCATATCCAGTCCCTGTCATTGTTTTATACAATGCACTACATTATCTGTGTTTTCTAGTTTAACAAACCGGAAAAGGAAGCGTTGCGTACGTTTGTAGCTGCGATGTCAAAGAGAGCTCCAAGACATAGACCTTGAGCAGGATCCATGTAGGAACTTTCTTGAAACTTTTGATGTTTTTCTGGTGATTTGGATCTCCGATGTTTCTTCTGTCACAAAGCATATGATTCATACTCCCGGAGAAAAGTACACGTAAACAAAATGAAAGCACGATGGGGAGTAATTACACAACTTAAGCTAAGAAATCTCAAAACCGGTTTTACATTGTGACTACTTTTTAGTTATTACTAGTCAGAAATTTCATGCAAGAACACACACATGACACAAATATGTTAATCAAAACCAAGGAAACAAAAATATATGCAATGAAATGATTTGCTGATAGCAGGACGGGCAAGTAACAGCACGCCTGGTAAGACACAGTGACACAATCTCATCCTAAAAATATTTGAAACCGGTTCTACATTCTGACTAGTTTTTGAACTTGTGAGACATTCCACGCAAGAAGACACACAAAAGTGTGATAATCAAAGACAATGAAATGAAATTTGCATACATGAGATGATTTGATGCGGCGAGGAACCATATTGCCTCCAATCTGAACTAGTCCATCAGTAGTGAAAAGTGTAATTCTTTCTTCAGGAACCCATTCAATCTCTGTAAGAAAACAGAACAAAATCGCTTGAATCAGTAACTCCACTGATCCTTAGTCCAAAAGAATTGTGCACAAGAAATGTGAAATGTCTCAAAAAAAACCCGGTTCCGGTTTAGTTACATAATTCACGAACGATCAAATCACACATTATTGAAATTCAGATCACACACAGATCATCCTAACTTCGAATTCTAAACCAACCTAATTTGATTAAATCATGTATCTGACTTTTCGAATCATAAGAGATCCTAGTTTTCTTCAACAATAAGAGCTGAGACGATTACCGTTGTTTGCATCGGACCATGGGAAGAAGTTGAAAGCATCGTCATCAGAGAAGCTACCGTAATGTGATGCCTTTACGGCGAAGCGTGATGGCCGAACGCGGGAAAGGAGAGATGAGAATCGAGCGGCGGAGGGATGAGAGTGACGAAAAGAAGAGATCGTGAGGTGAGAGGAGAAGGTAGAGAAGAGAAGCGTACAAGTCTCCGCCATCACCAAAAAGTCAGAAACAGAACTACAAAAACAGAGAGATGCGTGAGGCGGTGGTGGAAGAAGAAGAAGAAGAAGGAGAAGGAGAAAGGAGAGCGAGTCTACGCCACATGCTTTTTAACGCCGATGCTGCCACGTGCCCCTGTTGTGTTTTTTTTTTTTTTTTTTAATCTTAAGACCAAACTATACAAAGGGAAACAAATATGGTTAATCCGAGTTTTAATGTAGAACAAAGTGCAACACGATGTCCTAAAATAGTTCTAATTAAAACAACCGTATGTGTTATGAGACATTGCAATATCTAAGTATATAGACTATACGCGTGAAGATGATACTAGCAGCTAGGGCTGGGCATAAAACCCGAAATCCGAAAACCGATCCGAAAAATCCGGAACCGAACCCGAACCAAATAGTCATAAAACCCGAACGGATAATGAATTCTCCTATCCGAATTACCCGAACCGAACCCGATCCGAACCGAAAACCGAAAGGATATCCGAAAACCGAAAATAAAATTATATATCTAAAAATATTAGTTAGATTTAGTTGTAATTTTATAGCAAATAACAAAAATATCCTAAATAACCTAGATTTCGGAAATTTTTTAGTTATATTTGTTAAAATTATACATATTTTTACAAACTTAAACGAATTTTTAGTAAGATTAAACGAATTTTTCAGTTTTTTTCCCCAAAAACCGATCCGAATCCGACATTTATCCGAACCGAAACCGAACCGATGACTTATAAAATCCGAACGGATAATAAATTCTCCTATCCAAATTATCCGAATCCGAATATATCCGAACCGAAACCGAACCGAAAAGTCATAAAATCCGAACGGATAATAAACTCTCATACCCGAATTATCCGAATCCGAATATATCCGATCCGAAATCCGAATGCCCAGGCCTACTAGTAGCAGCCAAGTATGTCCATATTTCGTTTATTCTAAATGTTTTAATTAAGGGTATAGTAAGTTTTTAATTATTATAAAACTTAGTGCAACCAATTTATCTAATTAAGGTAGAAATGTACAAATGAGATGTTTTATTTCCAATATCCCAAAAAAAAAAAAAAACAGTTTCTTTGATCCGAAAAAAAAAGAGGGCAAAACTCTCTCCAGCTCTCTCTAGTCTCCATGTCGTTCCTCGATGATTAGGTACGAACGATATCAAATTATGTATTTAGATTATGGGAGTAGATTTAGGGATTTTGGGAGTGATTTATGGATTTTGGTATATCAAATCAAGTATCCATTAAAATTATGGGAGTAGATTTAGGTGGTGTTATTCAATGATGGATTTTAATAGAATTGAAATCCAACACTAATCCAGTGTTATTAACCTAATGATTCTAAATCAAACTCTAATAGATTTTAAAGTTTGGTGTTATTCAACTAAGATTTAAAATGCTTCATTAAAATCCAGTGTTATTCAAAACTAAAAGACTTGTAAAATCTTTGTATATCAAATCATTTGAAATGAAACATCTTTGGATTTCATGAGTAAATTATTAGAATCATAATACTAAATATACTGCAGAGATTTTGAACTCCACACAAACAGATTGTTAAAAACAATATCAGAAATCAAATCTAAACCTTTAAGAATTGACTTTAACTCCATGAATGAATAACACCCCCTTAGGGATTTTGGGAGTGATTTATGGATTTTGGTTGATCATGATTCTGTAATCTTATCAAATCAAGTAATGTATTTAGATTATGGAAGAGATTGTGAGTAGTTTTATGGATTTTGGTAGTTCATGTTTCCGTTTCCTAATTTGAAGCCTTCCTCTAAGTTAAGTCTATGTCTCTGCCTCTTTTTTATAATTAAGTCTATGTCTCTTTCTCTCTTTTGCAACATATTGTTCTCAAAGAAACCATTCTGAATTTCGCCAACATACACCATTTTAATGAGGCTATCAATGCTGATTTGAACCAGGCGACTGAGGTCCTCAATACATCCATGCTTGAGAATGAAGAAGAAGAAGATCATGGAGATATGGATATTGAAGTTTGCCCTTCTTGCGATGAAGAAAACCTCTTCATAACCATTCCATCTATTTTGTGTGTCTTAGCAAGTCCTTCAAACTGAAAAAACACAAGATACAGATCGCATTAATAATAAGATTTCTATGTTCACAAACACATATGTACTAACGAAAAAAAGAGCATTGGATATGGATAGCATTAGTATAATAACATACAAAATTGTAGTATCATTTCGTCATCGTACATTCGTACCTTGTATACAATACCTTTAAGGGGATTTGGTTATGCACATAATTTTCACAAAATGGATATGTCACTTAGCCAGATCATAAATGAAACCAATATGATCAACATACAATATGAATAAAATCTAATATTGATATCGAATATTTCCATTGATCATCTTACACAAAATCGCCTTTATCAAATAAAATAAAAAACTTACACAAAATCGATTATATTAGCTTCAAATATCACTCCCAAAATTCTAAAATACTAATTTACATTGATTTAGAAGAAATTACATTATTTTGTAGGTAATCAAATTCATTCAATCAAATTCACAAGTTTCAAAGTCACGTTGGAACTCAACAACATAATTAATGTCATATATTGCCTAGCTAGATCAAAATTTATCTCAATCTAATATAGTATGACTCAAATCTAACATCAATAACGAAATTCATTGATCAACTTAATCAGAACAGATTTTATCAGTTTCAAATATTCTCCCAAAATTATAAAATCGATTTTATTATAACTAATTTTATAAGCAATCACATTCTCCATAGAAAAAAAAAAAAAATCAAACCATCACATCTTTTTCACCGTCAGAATGATTAAGATATTGATAAAGATATTTTGTAGTAACATGTGAAAATTATCAATATCTCTTGTAAGAGGCATACATGAAGTAACATAACTCTTTACATATAACAATCTTTGTAACTAAGTCGTTCGAGTTTCTTCGGTTTAGCGTGTCCATCTTATGAACAGATACAATATGACTAGTGTTGCGATCATACCGGCATATTTGATCCAAGTATCAACACGATTGCGCCTCTCAATGAGCCTCAGTACCGAGTTGGAGAGCCCTACTGTATTCAGAACATCCAAAGCTTTACGCTGTGCACTCTGAGAATCCAAAAACCCCAATGTTACAAAACGTTAACGGCATCAAAAAAATGTTCACAAGAGTTTACCTTCAAACGATCCCTTTGTTCAGCATATTTGGAGAGGATAGCAACTCCACTTGAAAACGACTCTTCAAGCATTCTTTTTGAGTTCTTCACAGAGTTCATAGCTTGAGCTTCCTCATCAAATATCTGCAAAATGTGAGCCCCTTCTCCGCTCGCTCTGCCTAGCAAATCCGCTCTCTCTTTAGCTTCCAACATCTTTCTCTGATTCCTCGACATGTATTTTTCCAGACTTTGATTCAAATACTCAGCTTCTTCTCCAACTTGTTCAGTCTTTCTGCAACAAAACGCCCAAATTTGCTTATGATTTCAACACAATAGTATACAAGAATCACAAGAAACTACTCTAACGTTTTAGAAGCACTACTTAAAGAGATTCAGAAACCAAACAGTGAATATGTATTCATCGATTTGGATCATCTTGTGATCATCCAAATTTGCTTGCGATTTCAACACAGAGTAGTACATAGAAGAATTGCAAGAAACTAATCTAACGTGATTCAGAAACCAAAGAGGTAATGTGTATTCAGAGATTTGAGAGTAATGAATCAAGAACCTTCTCCAGAGATCACGCTGAGATTTAACAGGGATTGAGCGCCAAAGAGCATCCATGTTTGAGCAGAGAGATCGGACCTCAGTAATGTCTCGTTTCACGGAGGAAGCGAGATCGGGAGAATCCATAGAAGATGATTCGAACCTCTCTAACCTCTCGATTCCGTCGCGAGCCTTGAGTAGAATCCTTTTCGCACTACTATATACATCCGATAAGGATCCACCTCCTCCGACGATCCCAGACGCCATATCAGATCAGGACTTCTCGTTACCGAAGCGTCTCTGAATCAGAGATTATTCGTAGAAATTGATGCAATGAGTTGTATAACAAACGAGTGTGGTCAAGAACAAAAAGCGTATCGAAATTCAAAATCACCTGAGCAAGAGAAAGAAGACGAGAGGCTTGTGACGCCGTCCTGGAAGTTACCGCCGGAGCAATCGCAATCGGTGATGCTGCGACGAGAAGATCGAGATTTGATCGGAGTAACAGAAAACAAGAAAATCGTTAAATGCTTCGTTAGGCCCATAACCAATGTTTTATGGGCCTGAAGGGACTTTTTTTTAATTCTTTTTTTTGTTTGCCCAACTTAAGATTGTATTAAATCAAAACACAAAACCATAAGACACATATAATTATACAAAATCTCATATCAGCAAAAAAAAAAAAAAATAGATGTTGTACCAAAAGCTTAATTATAATTAGGTTTGTTTCGATGTTGTTGACGATAACGATCAGCGATAGCAACGAACGATATCCATAAGTAGAACAAGTGTTAGACATCCGCTCAATTGATTCAATATCGCTGAACTTAGAAAAACGGATTAAGGGTTGAAACAAGTGTATGTTTTATTGTTCATTTTGTAGTCGTCAGTTTATAAAAGTTCTATTGGGATCATTTGCTGTGATCACCTTAATTTAGTTAAGATTATTGGTTACTGAAAGCTGATATGTTGTTTTAAGTTGGGCCAACACAGGCTTATAAATTGATCTCTTTACTCATTTCTCTAATACTATTGTTGATGATGTGGAATCCACACCACTATTTTCCCTTGTTCCTTTTTCTTTGAATAATATATGAACTAACTTTTAGTATTTTAGTCTGAAAAAATATGTAACATTTTTCGCATATTTACTTAGTGGAGGCTGGAGAATCCTATTAATTTGTGTACCAACAAGGGGACAAACTGGAATTCACTATTCTATAAGCTCAAGGATATTTTTTTGATAGACTAACTTTTCGTGCATCATGCCGGTATTAATATATAAAACCTACTATTCAGATACATTTTAAAATTAAAATTACGTTCTAATTAGTGTAATCTTGTAAATGTCATTATCATTTGACGAAAAAAAGGAACACCTAGCTTGGTAGATATATTACCAACTCCTCTTGGTTTGAAAAAAACAGAGCCACACATCTTTAGTAAGAACAAACTCGTAATAATACGATATTGTTTTTCTTATAGTGGTGGAAGAAAACACATTGCAGTAGCTAAAATTTCAAACTACCAAGTTGAAAATAAAACCACCAATAAGGCCACTATGAGAGTGTTATCTCTTTCAAAAATATCTCGTTTGCATGTGTACGTGCGTACCATAGTTTTTCTTCTTTCGATCTCTTCTCAAAAACTAATTGGCGATAAATTTTTCGTTTTGTTTTCGTCATCGTGGTCAATATTCAAATTATAACTAATATGTTCGTACTTAGGAAGAAACTGGCGGGTCACGGTAGTATTTAGTAAGAATAGTCTAATAGATTGGGTTCACTAAAAAAAAAAAAAAAAAAAAAAAAAAAAAAAGATTATTGTTAATATTATTCTTGTGTGCACTTATTTACGTCAAATATAAGAGATAAACTTTGAAGTTTCAATGATTCACGTGTACCCTTGTTTTCATGAAAGATAAGTGATAAACTTTAGAAATTTCAATGAGTCAGTTTGTGTGAAATTTCAATTGTCACTAGTTAGGTACAAGGTTGTTTCATAAGAATAGTAAGACTGGAAATTTAGTGGTCCAAGATGTTTCATGTTATTGAGTAGACTTCACCCGTAAATCATTTTTCTGCACTCTTTTTTCTTATTTGATTTTTATTTTAAAATGCAATTATGTCGAAAATTCACATGCAGTTATTAAAGAAAGATAGATGTTGAGGCAATTGAAAAGAACTTCTTTTCCTTTATTAAGAATCACTTAAACACTCTACAAGAGATGTTTAATCTGATTTATACAAGCTTAACACTACTTGTGACTGACCAATCCTTAATCTACCCAAACTCACAACACAGCAACATCTATGTATTCTCTCTGTTCACTCACCAAGAACCCTAAATAGCTTCTAGCCTAGTACTTGAGATTCACAGAGATAATCTAAAACGCCCAACTAGAACTAAACCCTAGACTGCGTTTATATAGACTAACAACACACACGTCATTAGCCACTTTTCTAATCTTGAGATCACACCAAATCTTCTTTCCTTGATTTGATCGTATCTTCAATACATCAAATAACTTGAGTATCACGTTCTGGACACCTCCAATCACCAATCATTGTTCGCCACGTCATCTTCATTTAATGTCTCGCAGTTTCCCGCATACGGCTCTCTCCTGTTCTCCACAGGATCTTCCTGTAGTTCGATATCCATACATCTTCAGTTATGTTTTCAAAGTACAACAATAACGAAACCGCTATTGTATTTTCACACAATTTCATTCTCACACTTCTTCTTCTTAGTGTTCTTCCAAGATTCACAAAAACAAGCTAAATAGTTCAGTAATTTTTTGTTCAAATATGGAATTTAAATATAAGACTGATCATATATATATGACTGATGAATCAAAACTTTGTATCAATCTAAATTAGAAAAAAAAAAAAGACGGTATCGTTTTAGGTTAAACTAATATGTTGAGTATTGATAAATAATTAGTCTAATCATCATGTTCTCTATAATCAAGGCTACAACAAAGTTAGGAATTTTGATAAAATATTTGATTATTCTGTGAATAACTCCAAACTTATGTCTTCGTTTTGATTAAAATGTATTCTTTTATAAGTACTTAAAACGTAAACCTAAGTTGTCTTTGATTTTTGTTCATTGTATCTTTCCTATGACTTATATCACAAAAACGCCCCAGTCCCACCACATTTCACAATCACAAAAGTCATATTCACATGCATGTGCGGATCGATATTATTCACATACAGTCATTATAAAGTTCTCACAAATCCAGGTAGAAGAATATTTTCTTCAAAATTAGCTGAGCACAAAACTTGTTACACTTTCTTTTCTTTTTGGGCAAATTAACAAACTTGTTACACTTTTTTTTTTGATAAACCCTAAAACTTGTTACACTTGTTGTTTACTTATATATATACAGTCCAACTTCGAGCTAGTCGGTAGCGAAAGGATCTGAATTTTTTTGAAAGGACACATAAGTGAAATTAGGCAAATTATATATATGACTGGAATGATCTTTAAAACTATCAATACTAAAAATGTATGTATGAGATTTAAAACAATCTTGAACTATAAATATGTATGCACAAAGTTAAATGAAAAGGTTTTAGATAAGTAATTTTTTCCAATGTACTGAAAAAAAATAAAAATCATAAATGGATAAGTTCGAGCTCGACCAATCAATCAGTAAAGGAAACAAATTCAGATATGGACATATACTAATTATGTCTTCACCAAAAGCAATAAGGTCGTTTCATACACTTTCTAGGCACTTGCTAGATGTCACGGAGACGTGAATGAGATGGACCCTTGAAAACTCTACCATATTTCGTTTTATTTTATTTTTAGTTTCAATAATAATTTAGTGTAAAAAAGTACTAAAATGATATAATAGAAAGAAAAAAAGTTGGGAAGTAGTAAGATAGTGGAAGAGGATTAGTGCACACATGTTCTCCATTTTCCAAAGAGCTAGTAGCCAACTTTTGTTTCTCTATCTCACCATATTCATTTCATCGACATATATCAAACATTTATCGCGTTTCATATGATAATACCGATGATTTTAACAACATGCATTGAGTAAACTTCGTATCAAAATTTTGAAAACATATAAAAGTGATGGGTGTATTTTGGAAATAAATATATATTTGTGTAAATTGGCTGAGTGGACTAAAACATCATAAAAGCATCAACAAACAAACAAAATATGCCATCTCATGGCCGTACAATCATACAATTAGGGATTTAACATGCAAATAGAAAGCTTTCACAAAAAGAAAAAGATCTAATCATTGATTGGAAAGAAAAGTCATAAAAATAAAGTTTTCAGAAAACTTATATGTATAGTGAAAATGATAGACATGCATCGAGCAAGCTAACATTTAGAAAAAAATGAATAACAAAAAAAAAGTCACTATGGAATGGATTAGAGTAATTGCATGCAACATAGTGGCAATTGAGAAAATGATATTTAAAGAAATAAAAACAAGATATTCTTAGATGATTTATCGTTTATTTAAATATTATAGCAGGTGGAAGATGGAAATATGGAATAAGAACTGTTAAGGTTTCAGAGAGATAGACAATATCTGTTTAGGGGAAATTACATACTAATTAATTTAATCTGAACCTAGGTGAGAAAGCTGAGAAATATAAAATTAAAAATTTAGAGAAAAAAGATTATAGAGCATAAAGCAAAGTGGTGAGTGGTGACACATATGAACAAGCAAAACAGAGATGAATTTAGAACTAACATGCTCACACATGCCTCCCCACCCGCCAATATGTGAGTATAACTATTTCATGAAAATTAATTATATTATTCAGATTAAAGATAAATTAGGTTTTTTTTTAATGAAGGCACTATTAAAAGAACTGTCTTATAATTCTCTAAAACAATATATGTACGAACCTGACAAATAAAGATGGGAGATTCATGATGAAACGAGACAGCATCTATTCTTTGATTGTTCTTATGCGGGGGCTGTGTGGTCTTCTTTCACTTCAAGAGCCCGTGTCGTTCCTCCAATCTTGTTTGAGGACTGCCTCAGATGGCTAAAGAACCCTTCCCGTGATAAGAATGTTGCTCTGATACTTAAGCTGGCTTTCCAAGCATCCTTGTATCTCTTATGGAGGGAAAGGAATTCGAGACTCCATAATAGCTCCTCGAGACCTTATTCAGCTTTGATTCAAGAAATTAATACTCTCATTCGTTGCCGACTTGACCCGCTATCAAGGGAGCATAGATCGAATCCTCAGTTTGTTTCTCCTCTTGTAACTTGGTTTGGTGTGTTTCACAGTTAATGTGCTCTGTTGTTATTTGTGATAGGTGTTACTCGGTTTGGAGGCACTTTGTAAGGTTTGGTACAGGTACCCATAGTTTTTGGGCCTGAAGTAATATATGGTAAGTTAAAAAAAAAAAAAAAAAAAAAAAAAAAAAAAAAAAAAAAAAAAGATGGGAGATTCACAACACCAAGATTCCTTAACCTTTACAATA